GTGGAACTGAAGATACAGACCTGGCCCAGCAGCCACTCATAGCTGTCTCCCAGCCTTTGGGTTGAATAATACACACTCTGTGCTTGAAGGTTTCTTCCTTACATTAAAAAAAAAGAAAGAAACTAAGTTTACTATAAAAGCACATTTACATGATCATGACATACACTATTTTAGAAGTCTGTACATCTTTGTTCATGCTGCACTGGGAGATACCTTCTTAGATTTAGAATAGTGTTAAGTGCCCCTTGGCAGACTGTCAGCAGGGTGTCACTGGTCTCAGAGTAGCCTTGTGTTTATTGACCACACACCGACCAGTGATTGATAGGAGTTTCCAAGATGAATACTCACAGGAAAGTCCTTGGGATCATGGGTAAAGCTTGCAGGAGATCCCCAGTGGGTGGCTCTGTTTACATAGTCTCTCAGCCTCCAATAGTCACCATCTGTCTTGCCACAAATCCCACAAGAGGCAGCTTGGACCACTTATGATGCCTGTGGTCAGATAGGTAGAAAAGAGGGCAAGCCTGTTGTCCTCCGACCTTGTACAGCAAACCATAGCAGCACTTGAATCTCCAAGCATGAGACTCCTGCTTCTGCTCAGAGTGGCTGGGGGTGCCTTGTTATCACTTTTGCTTTGTATGAGGCTGGGGGCCTGTACTTTCAGTCTTCTGTTAGGTGACTAGTAAGAAATTACAAATTGGAGTTAGACACTCAGAAGCCTTTAGAAGCTTTATCAGGTTATTTCACTTCTCAAGTGTGGCTTTGGCTTTTGTGAGCCTCAAAAGAACTGAGAAATCATCTCAGAAAGTCATCAGGATCTGAGAAAAGTAGATGAAAAATTCATCTGCAAATGGTGACTCTAATAGCACCTTTTCCTTGCAGGGTGCTTGAGAAGATTAAATGACAATCCCCACAGAACATTAAATCCAGTATTAAAATAGTGCTGTGCTTCATAAACACTGTCATTGATAACAGCATCATCTTTTGGCTGCAACACAGTGAAAAGGAGACATTGCCATTGATGTCTAAAAGCAGTATTTTATAAATCTTTGCCCACATTCCAATAAATTTTATAATGTAATTGCAGCACTTAGATCCTTCACTTAATAACTATATTTGAGTTCCCATTATGTGTATGTTTGTTATTGTGGTGCTAAGGGTTGAACTCAGGGCTTTCATTTGCCAGACGAGTGCTATACCACTGACCTATATCCCCAAAAAGGACCATAGAAAGGCAGTGTTTACTGACTGCACATGTATTCTCATATAGACAGAAATAAAAGGGATTGTCTTTCTTTTTAAAATCAAGTCCAAATTGTAAACATACTTCAGTTGCCCTTTGTTCTCAATTCTCAGTTTTTCCACCACACACATATACTCCAATTACAGGTTATTATAAAGTATTTGTTAAAAATTTTGTGAAAATTTTTAACTTTTTCTAAAGATAATTATTTGAAAACATTAGGGGCCTGGGAGATGGCTCAGTAGGATAAGAGCTTGACTGGTAAATGCAAGGATCTGAGTTCAATCCCTGGTTCTGCCAAAAAAAAAAAAAAGGCAATGTTAGTTTACAGGGGCTGGAGAGGTGGTTCCGTGGAATAAGTGCTTCCCTGGCAAGCTCAAGGGTCTGAGTTCAATCCCCAGTTCCACCCAAAAAATAAAAATAAATAAATAAAATAAAATAAAATAAATATGTGAAAACATTATTGGTTAAACATAGGTTGTGTTTCAATGTGAAACGACATAAGGCAGCACTGAGTTTATTTAGTTTAAGGTGGTGCAGTAGTCAGGACATTGAGCATGCCCTGGTACCTGTGAATCAAATACTCGGTCCCAGGGCAGTGTTGTTGAGAAGTGTGCTATACCTTTGAAAGGATGGGCCCTGAGGTCATTGTAGGATGACCCAGAAGGGGGAACTTGGAGCCCTAGTCCCTGCTCTGTCATTTGCTTCCTGACAATGAGGCAGTTGACTCTACCACTTACTCCTTTTTCGCCATCCAGTACCTCCTCCAGAGGCCCAAGCTTGGGCCAGAACCTCCAAAACTATGAGCCAACATGAACTTTATATCTTTAGAGTTGGCTATCTCAGTTTTCCGTTATAATGTCAGAAAGCTGACTGACATGCTTGTTCTAGTGTGTTAGCTCTTAGTGTGCCCTGATGTGTTGTTTAGGGAAGCATTACTACTGATCACGTTTTTAAAACTTAGCACATCCATGATGTTCTTATTTCAGTTTATTTGAAGCAAAGATCATACACCCTATTCATTTCATACACCTTGTTCACCTTATTCATTTTTGTGACATATCTAAATATCCCCCCTAAACTTCATGTACTCATAGCTTGGGCTTTTGAGAGTGGCTGAATAATGGGTGTGTTACTGAATTAATCTGCTGATTGATTTAGTGTAGTTCTCAGTGTGAGTGATAGATTCACCGAAAAAGAAAGGTGTAAGTGTGTAGGTGGCACCAACCAACAAACTTATTAGCATGGTTAGAATGAATGAATGAATGAATGAATGAATGAATGAATGAATGAAAGAAAGAAAGAAAGAAAGAAAGAAAGAAAGAAAGACTTGCGGCATCCTTCCCACCCTGTCATGGACTGTTTCTTCTCTGCTATGTACCTCTGCTATAATGTCCTGCCTTCCAACAACTATGTATTGAACCTCTACAAACTGATCCAAAATAATCTTTCCTCCTTTAAGTTCTGGCTGCCGATATTTTCTATCAGCAGTGAGAAAGTTGCTAAGACATTCATGATATGTGGAAAATTAAGTTGATCCTCATCACTTTTTTCAATGATGAAATTGCTTTTCCAATTTCATCATCCTGTAAGACACTAGAACTGAGAAGAATTTTATTATCCAGTCTCCTTGCCACCACCCCCACATTTACTAGAGGAGAGACCTGGGGTCCCAGAAGTTAGAGGACCAGCTTGTAGTTGCACCATTCCTGGTGGCTGAGTTCTGGGACTCCCTTGTGTCCCATCCCTCTCCCTGGCCTGTGTTACTTCTCTTTGCTTTAAACCCGCTCCCCTTGCCACCAAGCTGTTACCAAGTCTTATTAAGCTTTCCTTGAGATGTCTCTTGGTTTTTTTCTCCTCATTTCTTTGTGTTTGCTCCTCACAGTGGAAGAGGCCTAAAAAAAACCTGGGTCTCTGAGGTACCCATTAGTGATTAAATTGCTGTAACCATTGTGGTCCATTGGTGTGTCAGTTCTCCGCTGTGAAGCTGCTGGGAGCTCCCTGGGGCAACACATGTCAGCATTCCTCCTCCCGGGCTAGTCTCTAATAGCTCACTTCCTCTGTCAGTGCATGGTAGGTGCCCATTCTACTTTCTTCCTGGGAGCCCCAAATGCCCAAGGCCCATGGCTTTTCTCTAGCAGCATGCTGATTTTTTAGGCCTTTGGACGGCTATTGTTCTCTGCTGCAGGTTCTCTTGTTGTCGTCCCAGATCTCTGTTCCTCTAGGCTAAGTCCAGATCCCACCACCTTCCTGATGTTTTTACTGATTACTCTGGTGCTTAACCAATATTTTCCTTTGTTCTCAGACTCTTTTATTGTGCTTTACCATGTAACTATGGACACAGTCTCTTTCACACGTTCTCTGGTTTTTCCTTCAAATTGCATTATCATCTCAGAGGTAGGTAGGTAGGTAGATAGGTAGGTAGGTAGGTAGGTAGGTAGGTAGGTAGGTAGGTAGATAGATAGATAGATAGGTAGGTGGTTGGGTGGGTGGATGGGTGGATGGATGGATGGACGGACAGACAGGTGGACACACACACACATACACACACACACACACACACACACACAGAGGTAGATTTGTTTGTTTTTGCCATGCTGGGAATCAAACCCTCATACTAAGCAACCAGCTATACAGTATTTAATGCTCTTTAAAGGTAGTGCTTATGCTTAGATTTTCTCATCTGTTCCATTTCTAGTTGTGCCTTATAAGTGGTCCGTAATTACTCTACTTACTAGAAGCTTACTGAGCTTTGAAGGATGCCATCAAGAGCTACAAGCAGCACAGACATTTTAAGTATTGCAGGTTGGATTAGGTTCAGCTGGCAGCATCTCTGCACAGTGTATTGCCACCCTCCAGATGCAGAGGATATGGGACGTTTTGGTGTCGGTGATTTCCAAGGGGACCTGCCTGGATGATGCGGACTTGTGTGTGAACCCTGGCTGGTGGCAGGTTTCCTCCTGAGAATGCATGCCTGAATCTTGGCTCTTCCTGCAGGTGGTGGTCATTTAAGATCATATGCCTTCTCCTCTTTCTATTCTACACACCAGGGAGAGTGTAAACAGGCCTGGCCTCTCCCCCAGGTCACCCTAGGGCCAGAAGTGACCCTGGAGTTCTCTCTGCTGCAATACCAGTGCAGTGTCCTGAGTCCAGTCTGATCTTGGATGATTTTTAGAACTGTGTAGTTACTTTACTTTCCCCCAAAAGTGAGAACATCTAATACATTCTCAGCATTGGAAAAAAGGTTATATGTTACATAGAGAAGACTCACCTGCTTTCTGCAGTTGTGGTGCCCCTTTCTGTGCCTACCTGCCTGCCTGCCTGCCCTATAGTCATGTCCAAGCTGAGGCGACTGTGGAGATTGGTACTTTGGACTGTGCTCTCCCCAGGGCACAAGCCCCACAAGAAGTGCCTCTGCCAAGGGCTAATAAACTTGGAGTTATTTTTTCTTTAATGTCAGCAGGACTAATTCCACCCATAAAAAATGGTTTGGCCTTTCTCCCTCATTGGCACCAAAGAGAATTGGCAGAGACCCAGCTGAAGGTGGGGCTGATGGGCTCTGGCTGGGAAGGGAGCCTGGCGCCTCAGGGCTATTATGCCCACATTCATCTCCTGTTCTGCTCTGTTCACTTCCCACCCAGGACACTGCCAGACCCTCCCAGAGACCCTGCTCCCCAGCATACACCCCAAAACTCTGCTCTTCTCATGTGCAGAGGGTGGCCCCGCCAGAGTTACTGCTAACGTTGTACAATCTTTTTAGGTGGATGGAGGTCTGCTTAGTTGAAGAATTGCCACCAACCACTGAGCTGGAGGAAGGGCTCCGGAATGGAGTTTACCTTGCGAAGTTAGCCAAGTTCTTTGCCCCGAAAATGGTATCAGAGAAAAAGATCTATGATGTGGAACAAACACGCTATAAGGTAACCAAGATCTAATTGATTCTGGCATCCAGCAAAAAGCGAAACTTTGGTATTTCATTTCCTTCCCCTATTTAAACTCCTGCTGTTTCTATAAGAAATAAGGGTGGGGGTGCTTCGGAGCCTGTTAGTAATCATTTTTGAGGCAGCAGCAATTTTCCAAAAGCAAAGTATTGCTATTTTCAGTCAGAGGCTAAGCAACCTCTGATATTTGGGCCTCCCAATGCCTCCCCTATTCCTCAAGGTCATTTGTGAATCTAAGTGCCAGTAAATGTTGAAGAGGGGTGCTATCGTTCCTTGTCTTACCACCAGCACATTTATTACTCTCCAAGTTCTAATCAAGGAATAAAATACCCAGCATGGGCTTGAACTTGTGACCCTAAATAATTGGGACCAATGTGATAAAAAGAGAAGGAATGTCAGGTAGTCAGCTAAGAATTCTTTCTCACATATGTTTAAATAAAGCTAACTTTTTTTGTGTTAC